TCTATGTTTAATTTTGATGCTCAAAATGTGAGTGACAGGCGTGCCTAATGCAGCACTTTATTAACGGTAGATCGACCAAATTAAAGCATGAATTGCAAATAGACGACCGGAATGGACCACAAGCTACGACAAAGTGATAACGCTTGACCTCATGTTGCAAACGCTGATCGAAAACGTTATAAGGAAGCTAAAGTTGGAGGTTGTTTGAGGTTTTTTGTTACCCACGATACTCTCCCGACATTGCACCGTCATATTACCACTTGAAATTACCAAAATGGAACTACAAATTAGCAAATTTCAAAGAAAATTTCTACCAAATTTTACAATTTCACTTGTCAAATTTCTCTTCAATATCATTCACAAGTTACCCAAAACTTGAGAAAATGTTATTGTTAAAGATGGAAATTATATTCGAATAAACTTCAGTTTTGATAAGACTCAAAGAAATAAACATTGGTTGAATTATTGAACCGTAAAGACGGCGGAGTCTAATTGCACACATATATGTGCATATATGCATATATTTGCATATACATACATATATATTTATAAATATACATTTTACGATATACGTATAGGCATGTATATATATATAATATATATGTATATACATATGTAGGGGTAAATGTGCACCTACGTTAGATTCAACATGGTGTTGCCCGCTCCTGTACATGAAGAATTATAACAAACGACAATATCTACTCAAAAAGAGACTCCTCATTCGAAATCTTGCCTTATGATCATTTTTTAGAAGAAACTCTGATAACAACGCTAATGATTACATGACTCTTCAACGGTTATGTGCGGCGCAGTGATCAGAAAGATTTGCTTCAGATTATATGTGTGATGGATAATCCGATTGGTTCGATCTTGTATTTCTGATGAACTTGAGCCACCATGATTTATAGGAAGATAGAATCTTAATGCATTGGCAGGCCACCGCAAGTTATGGGATATATCGATTATGCATTCAGTCAATTCTGCAGTGCTATGATTGAATTCAAATGCATAGTGCTCCTTCAGAGGGTACCTGAATCGAATATTTCATCCTTTTGTAAATTATTGTGGCTCGGTTCACATGTTATGATGACTCTAGTTCGTCTTGCTTTATGAGTTCTTTATGGATGTGATCGTTGAGTACTATCTGAGTGTAGCTCTCCTTGGCACTCTCACGAAAATAATACCAAAATTTTCCTGGTATCTACTACAGATAATTGGCATCCTTTATGAAGCGGCGGAAGCAATTTTCCGACACCGGAAGAATGAGTAGTTTGATTGGTTTGGGGCGGAGTCGGACCATCGACCACGTGTGAAATATACGACGTCTCTAGAAATCGCGCTGCACGCCTTCTTCCAGCAAACAATCAGCAATTGAAAAAAAATCGCCAAGTGTCAACGACTGTGTGATGGAAATTGTTATATGCCAATCACTTGTGTGGCGTCTAAGTTTTTTGTGCCATTGTCTCTGTGTTAAGATATCTTTTTTTGCTGCTTTTCCAAGTTGACTTATTTATCAATCTTACTTAGAAATTAAGGAATTTTTAGAAATTAAAGGATGTTCTCTCGATACATAGGAACACGCTTCAAAGCACAAGAATAATAGACCTATCGTATTCATTTGAGCTCTTGCGATTTCGTTTAATCGAAACTCGTCTGTTACTCCCTAGAGGACTATTGCCTCCTTCACCTCCTCAACTCTAGATAAACACCCTTGCGGATCTCTTGTACGGCCAAAATTTTCTCAGCTTTTTTTCCTATCTTAGTTCTTCTTTTTTTCCCATCCTCTTTTGAACAAATTCTTGAGCTCTCTTTATTACATCTTTTATATACCAATTCAAATCATTAACTTGCTTGTTCAAATACTTAAATGACCCGTCTTTAGAAATCATGTAAAATCGTGTGTATTACCTCATTACAATTCTTTCTACTACTATTGTGCATGTTGAGAAAGTCTCTACGACTTTTACTGAAGTCTCAAAAGCTGTGCTGCAGGTTTACAATAAAAAAGTTTATTCATTGTTTGTATTACTTTAGTCAGTAACATGCTGCACTCATTTTCTGGAAAAAAAAGTGTGACCAAATTCAAAAAGCAGTTCAGAAATCAATGTCCACTTCTTAATTATATATTTATTTTACATGTTCTGGCAATGATTTTCATTTCCAATGTAGTGCTACATTATTGAAAAGCCCAATTTATGCACCTTTGCATCGTTTCAAATCATAACATGAATTGTGGTCCTGACAATTTGAAGGTGAAGATGTCAAAATCCCAGTTTCACCTCATATACTTCTACAAGGTGAACCTCCAACGTAATAAGAACCAATTCGCTCGAAACATTAGTACGGTATGGAGACATGGGAATTTAAGGAACATGGGTTTAAGAGCGTTTGATTGGAAACTCTGATTTGGAACTTCTTAATAATGAAGTGGTAAGTTACTAATTTCTTCGTGTTATCAACGACAATCCTGCAAGCAAATATATGCGCAACCATTCGAGAATTGCAGGGGAACCCTGTCCAAACATTCCAACAGTTTCAGACCACTAAGAAAGTTGGAATATCGAATAACCTCGACAAAGGACTCCGCAAATTTTAGCATTCGAACAAGTCGCTGCTTTAGAGCATTATCAGCACCTCTTCTGCGCCGCTACAAAGCATGTTTCACTAGCGTTTGTGATGTTCAACAAGAACTACTTGCTCTACAGTAACCAGCATGAATTAGCTTAACGGTCGGACCGCGAGAAAACTCCCAATTACTTCTCGAAACACAAAACTCACCAAACTAAGGTATTCTATCTCTTTTCGTAGTTCGCTCCTAGTTTAACTGATAAAATGCATTTAGAATGTAGGAGTGGAGTAGTAGAAACTTTCGCTGCTCTACCCTAAAATGACCAGCAGAAAAGCTCTGTTTCTTCTTCACTAAATAACCTCCGCAGTACAAAATCTGTTACCCTGAGTAGCAAGAATAGAGGAAGATCCTTTCAATGATCGGGCGTTACACCTATGAAACTACCTTAGGCGACTCAAAAAACTCTTGCGTTTTTCTCGTATATCCTCAAAAACATTCTCTTAATTACCCCTTTGGAGGGCCATAATCAAGTAGCTGTATTGCTCGTCGCAGTCTAGCGCGGCCCTGAACCATACGTCCCTATTATTAACTTCGTGCTTCTTCTTAATCAAGAAAAAATACGAAGATCTTTGCTTTCCTGACATAGGACTGAAAATTTAAATGCTTCAAAAAAGCTATAATAGTGATTCTGTAAATTCAGCGATGCATGCTTCTAGCAAAGTCTCACTGATGAAAAGTTTTAGCAAATAAAAGATTCCACTTAAGTGTTCTTGCTGAGAGTTATCCAGTTAAGGTGTTGAAGTAAACCATCAAAGAAAAGCTGATGAGAACAGGGAAAAATATGATGCGAATGATAGGCTACTCCAATCCTAATTATAACAATGTTCCATCAACATTTTGAGTACAACAGGTCCCGTCACTAGCCCCCGGCAGCCTACAGCGGCGACGCATGCCGAGTGGTTAGTGATGCGGCCTTTAGAAAGTGGGAATCTAGGTTCGAACCCTCGCACGACGCTTAACCCCGGTTCTTTTAGTGCTATTTTTGATGTGAATCAGTATTGAAGGTCATTTTTATAGACAAGATCATAGAAAGAAACATCCAGTTATCTTACAAATTGTTGCTTTTTTGATACGACACGGAGATCTGTGGAGTACCAACGAAGCCAGCGCACATGTTGCTCAAAACTGACTGCATCCACTTCTGAATAAGTTTCTTTCTTCTGAAAAATCATTGAAATCACGCCGTTTAAAACATGCCTTCGAATCCGAATTCGGCAATATTATAGAACGAAATGCAAGAAAAAGATTAAATATGCGTTGTCATCTCATAGATCTACGTCTCTCAACAAGAGGTAGCGAAATGTTAGGAAACTGGACGTTCTTTTCGCTATAAAAATTACGTTATGGAAGAACTCTTAATACTATTCGACACCGAAAATCTGCTGTGAAGCATCGCGTTAGAGGATTGAACCAGCAACTCTACCCCCGATGAACGGCGCTACTAGCCACTTCAAACTACAGGCTCGCCGCACGCCTGTGAGCGGGCTGGCGCCGTGGGCTTGTCGTGCCTAATGTGTTAACTCTTTGACGACCACCGCTGATAGGCAGGCGGCGTTGCGCCGTCGCTTGCGCGCTACTCGCTGGACGGAGCTCTTGCGTCTCTGTGCGAGAATGTTGTGCTTCCTCCGTTTCCGTTGGCCTGAGCGCCTTCATTTTCACGACGCAGGACGCCGTCGTTACAGTAGCTGATTGCGACCATGGGAAAACTGAGATTGAAATCAAGGCAGAGGAGAGTACGCCCGACAAGGGCAATGCGAAAATCATTACGAACAAAGATGTTTATCAAAATGGTTTTTCTTATTGCAATACAACGGATTTTTTGATCGATTTCTTCTGTGAACATTTTCCATTGCTGCAACCTTTGTCGTTTCACCACTACCGTTATCACTATCATCATTCCAAAATCATTTCATTTGACGCCTTGCGGTGTTATGATGTTACTATAGACCCATTGATGATGTAGAGTGGTGTGCAAAAACGCTTGCGTCAACCGGGATTTGAACGCAGATCGGGAACACTGTAGACGGTTGGCTGTAGACGAATAACGCGTTGTAGCGTAGAAAGAGTGGAGTGCGAAACGAGCGTCGGTGGTGCAACGGTTAGCACATACTCCGGAAAGAGTAGGATCTGGGTTCAAATCTCGGCTGACGCAAGCGTTTTTTGCCCACCACTCTACTTCATCAATGGGTCTATAGTAACATCACAACACCGCAAGGCGGTCAAATAATATGATTTCGGATTGATTATTGGGACCCAATATCTGTCAACATAAGGGGGTTCAATGTCGATAATGACTGCCCCGCCACACCGTAGACGGTTGGCTGTTGACAGATAACGCGTTGTAGCGTAGAAAGAGTGGAGTGCGAAACGAGCGTCGGTGGTGCAACAGTTAGCACATACTTCCGGAAAGAGTAGGATCTGGGTTCAGATCTCGGCTGACGCAAGCGTTTTGCCCACACTCTACATCATCAATGGGACTATCATCATTATCATTAACATTATCATTATCATTGTTATTAACATTAACATTATCACTATGACCATCATTGTCAGTATCATTATCATTTTCACTATAACTATCACTACCAATCATCACCATTATCATTATCTGTCATCATTAACACTATCCTGATTATCACCATCATCATTATCACCATCATCATTGTCAGTCACCATTATCATTATCATCATTGTCACTTCATCATCATTACTATCATCATGTCATTCGTCATTATCACCATCATCATTGTCACCATCATCATTATCATTATCATTTCTCACTGTCAGTGTGATTATCATTACTATTATCGAATAGAAGTATGATTCATTTTACCAGCTACAAGTTCGACTGTTGATCACTGAAATGTCTAGCACTGGATACATGCCCTTATCAGACCTCACAAACAGCCAATTATTATCACTGTCATAATCATAATCATTTGGCTATCATTTAGCGATGTAGTTTTCTCGTTCAAACATAATAAATATAGATGGAGTATGGAAGCTCTTTTCAATAAAATTTTCTCTCTAAAAGCTTTCTCAATGAAATTCTGTCTTTTAATGATGAAAATGCTCCCTCAGAATTTGTCTTTGTCTCCTAGCGTACATTATGGTCTGGCGCCTGTCTTCTCAGGAGATACGCCGCTTTTCTCATGGGGCGCGGGGCCCCGCCAGTGTAGTAGCTGAGAGGATTACGCGTTGCGAGGTGCGGGACGAAACGTCCCACATGGTCCTCAAAGGGTAAACGTATCGGAAGAGATAATTGTCAACGGGTTCCAGTTGGTGGAAGGAGAATTTCCTCATATGCGATGCTGTGCTAGATTGCTTCTTTTTGCGCTAGGCAAAGCTGGATTTTCAGCGTTTCTTGGTTACCGTTAACATTTTGAATAAAGTTCCGACAACAATTGTTACTCTCTCCTGAGCTTTTGATATCACATTAATATTCCTTCGCAACATCAGAGGCTTTATTGTTGTATTGTGCTTCGCCGTGGCATTATAATTTAGCTAATCCTTCATAATTTCAAAAATCCTGAGATACGAGCAAAATTTGGTACCTTAATTGGGGCGGAATCGAGCCCGTCTTTGAAGCTTTCTTGTTAAACAGTGCATTATCAAAGCTCTCGATGTGCCTTTTTCTTATTCATATAGACCATCATAGGCAGTTTCTTTTGCTTCACAAAATCAGTGTTAGAATGGTAGACTTTGAAGAAAAAAACCTTAAGCAGTGCTAGGAAACATATACGTAGAAAACGAAAAATGCAACCAAATGCGCTGTTGTTTACCCAAAAAGTCGTAATCTTAGATATTAGTCCTTAAGAGTGTTCTCTACATCACTTATTCTTTATAAGGATCAAATTTTGCCATAAAACACTATTAAAGGATTTTTTGGAACACTTCTTGGTTTGGCGCCATTCCTGCTCACGAATCATCCATATTGTCATTGCCGTTCATTTATCATTAAGAGATTCAGTGACAGAACAGGTATTGAACAAACTTTCGCTTTAGGCGAGCCTTTTTCTTCCATCTAGCATGTCACTTACCGTCTGCTGAAATACGTTAGAAATGAATGCTAGTGGTCGCGAAGCGACTAGCAACTTTCGATTAGGGGCGTCTCACTGAGCGGTTAACAATTGAACTCCTGGCTGTTCAGTCGATCTGCGACTGTAGTCAGGTGCACAGCGTCCTACACAATTCGTCCATAGTGTTTTCCTAGATATTCTTCTAGAATTTTGTATCCTGCTTACTGATATTTGGTACTGGAACGGCCTGTCTTCACTAATTGTGCGGACTCGAGCACATATTACATTCGTCTCTCTGCTGCGCGCCAGTTCGTCCCATGACGGTGGTCTCATCTAAGCATGGCGGCTTCGGCGAGTGTCATACCGTGATTTGAAAAGAATCGGGAGCTGCGAGTACAGCTCCTCAATTCTTTTGACAAACCCATCAGCCCAACGTGTAGGTGGTCGTCATCGTGGACGCGTACATTGTCGTGTAATCCACTCTACAGTTCTTCTCGTCCATCTATCGTCCGTTGTTCTCAGTAGATGAGCGAGCCCATCCGTGTTTCGTTATAGATGTAAAGACCTTTGGGTCGCGAAGATGGGATAGACTCCGAAATCTGAGCTACACAAGCTGGCCAGATGTTGTGTGCGCCGACTGCTGTATTCTGTGGAGAAATTTGGGGAGATGAGAAATAGAAAAGTATAAAGCGAAGCATGGATGTACCGTTCATGCTATTAAATAATAAGGATGGTAGAATAAACTATAAGACTGCGAGAATATTATCTTGAACGATAGCCTACTAGATAATGAACTGATGTAAATTAACTGCTTAGGATGCGTCATGCATTTAATTTGAGTCCTTAGCATGAGAGACGTGGCTGAATGCTTCATTTAGTTTGGATAAAAACATCCTGCGGGTTGTCGAAATACCGACTTGATGTTTTGATTCTGCAAATATGTATGGTACTAACTTCAATACCACAGAGGGATGGAAAACTCCGACTGTCTGACTGGAAGAAGGAACAGAAAATCATGTTTGTAATGCAAGCCCCTGTCAACAACTGCTCAACACCAGTCGCAACTCTTAAATATTGGGTAGTCTCATGATTCATTTCTGATTCCGACACTTTTATTAATTCAGTTGTTAACTATTTTGACGAAATTATTAAACAACAATATAATCACTTCCAAGATAAATGATATGCCATCATTTTCTGGGCAATGATTGCGTGCCTTTTCTCTCAGAAAGACTGAGGCTGAGATCAAAGAAGTCGGTAAGGTTACTTTTAGTGTGGTTGTAATCCCTAATATTTTTCCCGCATATGCTGTTTTAGGACGCGAAAAGATGGGAATTCGATGCAGCAGTAATAGGACTGCAAGGCGAATAAACACGTTCGTTTCGAGTGTTTTCTTAAGACCATGCTCAAATTTCAACATATCTCATGATGTTATTTGAGCCAACTCGTCATGTGGTTTGTTGATGGCTCTTGTACAGCACCAATACATGTGTTTTCAGTCTTGACAGTCTCTTTTCAGTCGGGCAAAAACCCTTCGTCTTTTAGGACAATTCTCTCGGGGGTGCTCCAGTCCCTATTCTCAGAATAGGCAAAAACGGACGGTTTACACTGCAGTGCCGTCAAGTGAAAATTACCAGATTGGCACTGTTGTACACTCGATTGCTCTTGGCAGGGTTATGAGATATATTATTACCGTTCGTTCGAGTGTTTTTCTAAGACCACGCTCAAATTTCAACATGTGTCATAAATTGTTAGTTGAGCTGACTTGTCATAATTGAGCCCTTTAACAGACCACATGACAATTTGGGTGAAATAGCAATTATGAGATATGTGTCTCGATGAAAACACTCGAAAACGAACTGTATAATATATCTCAAATGAGCAATCGAGTGTGCAACAGTGTCGATCTGGATTTTCACTTGACGGCAGTGCAGTGTAAATCGTTCGTCGTCGCCTACTCCTAGTGTAGGGATTGGAGCACTTCGAGAGGATCGGCTAACAGACTAAGGGTTCTGCCCAACTCAAAAGGCTGTCAAGGTTGAAACACGCGCATCAGGCTGTACAAAAAACCCATTAACAGACCACATGACAAGTTGGCTCAAATAACAATTATGAGATATACATGGTGAGTGCTGAACTGTGCTCCAGCCCCGTTTCTTCAAAATGTGGGAGAGTTGAATTTACCATGTGGATCGCGCGTTATCTTGGAGATGTTCGACACTCAGTCATTTTGAGCACTTCTCTTCCACTGGTGCGCCCAACATTTAGAGTTTTCTCGTAGGTGTCGACATTGATTGCCTACTTACTATCGAGCCTTGCCAGGTCATCATGCCCTGCCGAACCCAAAAAGCCGAGCGCAAAATCTTTAGAGCATGAAATTTCAGCTTTGCATGAGACGTCTATCGAAAGGTCACTTTGAGGTCACCCACTTTATTTAGATGGCGGGTGATAGTGGTGCGGCCGCATCCAAGCGTTACTAAAATTCTCCAACACAGTGCAATTTTCTTTGGCAATAAGCCGGTCTGAAGTAGAAGCAAGAATTCAAACAGTAGGGCGACTGAAATTAGCTGAGAGAACTAAGAAGGGCAACCCAATATTTTGGTTTTGTCCGAAGAATGTATACGAGAAGAAGAAAACCCGATTATGTGAAACCAGTAGGCCGATAAAAAGGGTGAATTTTAGGTATTTCGGTACGCAATAGAAGAGCTATGCAACATAGTAGCAGTGAATAGGAATAGGTGAATTCCGCCATGAACAAATTTTCGTCCATGATCAATTGCGAGTTGTTCAAATTTGATCGAGAAAGGAAAAGTGAAGAACGGTGGGCAAAACTAGTGTAGCGACACCCAGATAGATTACTGGGTATCCATTGATAACATGTAGCTGTATTGTTTTATAGAGAAGATTGTGCATACAAATTAAGCCTCACCGAATTATAGACTGCAAAAATGCAAGAAGAGTGCAATGCAAAAAAACATGGTGCCACTTGCTCAAACCGCCAGATTTCAGTATCTAGAACAAAACTTGAATCTTATCGCAAATATTTAAAATCATTATGCACCCTTATAAGTCATTCGGTGGCGGTTATCGAAAAAATTATAATGCTCGTCAATGAAGACCTCTAATGAATGCCGTCCCATTAGAAAAAGACAAATTCAAAAAAAAAAATCATGAACTTTTGGTCAACCCATCACACAATGGTTTGCTCTGACAAGATAGAAAAACGGATTTAGTAATGTTCTGAAGCACTCTTCACAAATAAGAAACTTTTCAATCTCCAAACGATTGTCATTATGGGTTAAATATTATAGGGAATTAAGAATATACTCTAGGGATCAGTTATTCTCTTCATTTTATCAATTTCCATAGAAATTACCTCCATGCCGCTCCTGTGAATAGTAATGAGGAGCGCTAACACGAGATA